TATAACTCCCCAACCGTTTGATTTACCATTAGTCTCATCACCTGATGAGGTCATGAAACAGATTAGTCATGATGATGATGCTACTGAGGTAGGTCTGGGTATTGAAGATGAGTTGGGAAAAGATGATTACACGCTCCAAGAGAGTGGGGGCGAGGTAGATGATGTCCATAATGAAGAAGTCCCGCTCCACAAGAAATATTACCCCTCTTGTACACATGCACTGATCCGCTCTTACGTAGTTTCAGATTTGGATTTCTTTGATTCACTCCTTGATGATGATACTCCTTTTTATGTGGAGAATGACAACATCATCTAAGAAGACATTGATAAGAACAGTGTTAATGATAGTTGGGATGCTCACACAGAGAGTGATACAGAGTCCAGAGGAGGTGTTTTGAATGTTCATAATGTTTTGAGGAAGAAAAAAGACTTTTCCATGGTGCAGTTCGATTACGGTGTTGCTCCTAATTCTTGCTCTGAAACATCTTTTGAGCTTCCGGTGATACCTAGAGTAATCAAAGTTTTGACTCACGTTCTCTGTCCATCCAAAGAGGATGTGAGTTTCATCCTTCACTTCTGCGCTGATGAGGGTTATGAAGACCATGTGCTACCTACGTGTATTCAAGAATTTAAGAATCTGCGCCACCTAATGGTATTTGTTGAGAGGAAGCTGGAAACGTTGATTATTAGTGCACCATTGCAGTCTTTGCCATTTGAGAGCTTATGAGGTATCGTCGGGCACACGACATTAAAAATAGCGCTTCTTAGGAGGCAACCCAAGTTTTCTTTTCTGCATTTTTCTTTTGTTTGGATGTTTTGCTTTGTGTTTATTTTTGCAGCTTGATCCTTAGCGCATGTGATGAATTGCTGATGGAATTGCGGGTTCAATTGGAGTTCGAGACCAACCGAAGGCCTAGGGGAGTTCCTACTTTCCTTACTCGTTACTTTTCCGTTGTCTTGAGCTAAGTGAACACGCGTGACCGTTTCCTCTTTACCCCTTGTGCATATATGATTTTAAATTCACATTCTTAATATTTTTTTATATCTTACTACCACCGTCCCAAAAAGAGTTGCAAATTTGACTTTTCTTAGTCAAACAGTCTCGTTTTGTGCACTTAATTACGATGTCAATTTTTAATTATATTCTAATTTGGAGTTTACAACTTTGAAGAGATTCTAATGTAGTTTTTCAATATGTAAATTTTAATTATTAAAAATTGAATTAATTATCCATACGGAGGGTTGACTTTTATTATTGGTTGACAAAAAATTGTTGACTTTGCAAAACAAATTGGGACGGAGGGAGTATCAAGTAATCACAAACATTTAAATTACTAAACATTTTACTTCAAACCGTTAATGAAAACGGTTGATTAGAAAAGTTAACATAATCCGTTAGTATCAATCTGCCGATTCAACCGACTATTAGCTAGAGTCAACCGCTCATTGTCAAACATCCTCGTTGACATTTTTAAGTAGTCATCCACTTTTCATGATAAAGTCAATGTGGAAGATCTCAAAATGTCAATTTCATAATATTTAGGGACCGAATATCGAGAATTTTAAGACATTGTTTTTGTTACTAGTTTTTCTCAAGATTCTTTTTACCAATTTGATAAACGCCCTCTCTATTGTTACCAATTTGCTAATTTGGCCCGAGAAGTTGTACACGTCGTACTTCCTCCGTTCCATATTAGTTGCAACAGTCAACATTTCACGTTTGCCAACGCACAAGTTTGACTATTAATATCTTTCATTCCTTATTAGTAAAAAAATTAAAAAGTTCATATTTTAAAATTTTAGAATGAGAAGAATTTAACAATATTTTTTAAAAATTTAATCTATAATACATTAATTAATAAAATTTAGTCAAAGTAAAATATGTGAATAGTGCAAAAAGTCCAACGTTGCAACTAAAAGAGAATGGATGTAGTACTTACTTTAGCCATGACCTCATTTAAGTGTCATGCATGATCGAATTTCGCAGGCACCGTGATAATAAGTCAAAAGTTATGTAGTACTCCGTATTATTCTTTTGAACTTTATACTACGTACAACAAACCAAAACAATCAAATAGAACCGGTGGGCGTAGCTCAACTGGTAGCAAGGGAGTGCCACAAGGGTTAGGTCTCGGGTTCGAATCCCGGCAACTGCGATGAGGGGTTACTATGCTGAAAAATGCATAGGGCCTCTGCAAGTACCGGGGACAGAGCCCCACTCTCTATCTGTCAGATTGTGATTATAGTCCAATTTACATCCTCCCATCGTGCCGTCCGGTCGGTGGTGGGGGGCCCTCAGGGATGGGGTGTCATCCTTAATCAAATAGAGGATTATTCCATACCACCTACCCTCATAATTGCCTTCCACGTGGAATCGCCCACCCAGCTCTACACCCCTCCATCTTACTCCCTCCGTAACATATATATGTTCCCATTTGAAAAGTAGGTAGATTAAGAATAGTGAAATGGGATATAAATTATTGAGGGTATGATGGGGAGATAGTGAAATAATGTGTTGGAATGAAGGATAAATCCAAAAAAAGTAGGTGTAATAGTATATTATTTTTAAAATTATTGAGGGTATGCACTGGCGGAACCAGAGCTGTATTTGAACAGGTGCTGAGAAGGCGAGAAATATATCATAAAATCCCTTTTTTTTTGCTAACATAAAATTCTTATTATAGACGCTAGTTTGCACGTTTATTGTATATACCTCTAATTGTACGTGTACATTAGCGATTCGTAAAATAAATTAGAACTTTTTCTAAAAAATGTACGAATTGTCTGTTAGGCGTGTAAAATTGAGGTGCACACCCCTATATGTGTATACAAAGAACGACTGGTACATGAAACCTCAAAAGTATGACTTTGAAAACTTAATGTCTACAACTAAATAGCGAACTCTACCGCGGGAAATAAATTCAACGCAGGGTTGTTTTGCCCTTTATTATCTTCACCAAAGTGTTTGAAAACTCTTCAATCTATATTAGGAATTTTAACATGGTTAAGTTAGCCTAACAAATTACTCCGCATACAACAAAATCATATAATAATTACATATTTACATAACCTGAATTTATTTTTAGGCACTAGTAAATATATTACCATATATAACATAAATTGTAAGAGTAGCATATATCCTATTTCAGAAATCATAAATACAAACTTAGAAAGTTGTTGTACTGCCCGTGCATATAAAATCCAATTGATAAATTCACTGATTACTTACACACAATTGATTTACACGACAAAACATATTCATAAATAGATTTACACACAATTATAAATTTTTTTAAATACGTAAAAAAAACAATAAAATAATTAAACTACAAAACTAATACGTGGTACAAGGAAACTTACCTTCAGGTACGGCGGCGGTACAAGGAAATTTTGAGCCTTCTGCTTCTTCACCGAGCGCACTCAAGCAGGGTACGGCGGCGGAATTGGCGAATTGTTCTTATGCAAATAAGCAAATATGGAGTAGAATAACCTAAGGAGCATAATTTCAAAAAAAAAAAAAAACCTAAGGAGCATCTGACTGTCCGATGTCGTTTATTTCATACTGGGTGTCGTTTCATTTATGAGTGTCTTTTCGTTTCATTTAAAAGAACGGTGTCGTATAATAACAAGTCAAAATAATAAAACAAAACCGAAGCAGATCGTATGTTAGGAAAGGGCTACCGGAGAAGATGAAACCTTCAACACTTCCGGGGACAGGGGCGCCGACCAAATAATATGTATTTATACCTAGATTCTTCCGGCGAAGGGGTGGCGCCGGCACCGGCTCGCCCATCCCTGGTTCCGCCACTGAGGGTATGATTGGAAGATTATGAAATGAGAAGATATGAATGTTACATCCAAAAAAAGAAAGTGGGAAGATATAAATGTTACGGAGGGAGTAATAAACAAAAATGCTTAGTGTACATATTTTTGTGTAGCATACACTGAACCAGGGGTGGAGATAGGGGGAGGTTGGCTAGGGCCGAGCAAGATTTTGTTTTATGTATATATGTATGTTTAATTATTTATAAACAATAAAAAATATTGAAATTTTAAGCTTTGACCCTCGTTATATATATATATATATATATATTTTTCTTAAGCTCTGTCGTCCTTAACTTGACGTTTCTGGCTCCGCCACTGCAGTGAACTGACCCCAATCCGTAATATAATTATTTTTTTTAATAAATAAAATTTATATATTTAGAAACTACATTAAAAGTTTTATAAAGTCGCAAAAGAAAAGCTCAAATGTAATAAAAATAGAATATATAAAGTAAAAGATTAAGAAAGCTTTACCTTGACAGGAGAATAGTGGAATGAGATGGAGGTTGTAGTTTTTATGTTATTGTTCTTTTTATTCTTTACACCTGATAACATTATAAAAATTACTTCGAATGAGATTAAAATATAAAAGAAGTGCAAAATAAATCTAATTATATTTCATTTCCAACATAACATTATTTATTTGATCCTATTAAAACTTTAAAAGTATAAAACTAATCCAAATGGTAGTGAATGAATACTCGTACGATTTTCAGTATTTTTGGAAAAGAGAAGATTAATTTTATATATGCACCTTATTTATGTAGTATAGAACTACCTCCGTCCCACTATGTTTGGGACAATTCGATTTACGATGCTTGACTGACGATAAAACAAACAAATCTCTATCCGCACTGAAATAATTTTTAGAAAAGACAAATTATACATTAAAAACTTTACAAAGTCGCAAAAACCAGAATCAAATTTAGTAAAAATTTGATATAGAGATTAAGAGTGATTTGTGTTGACCAAGTGAATAGTATCTGAGACAATCTTAACGGGACGGAGTATGTTTTAATTCTACCGAGTATTTAATTATCAGGTGTGTCAACCAAGTTTCTTTGACTTGGAAAAAAGCCCGTACGTAGTCATGGCTAGCTTCGTATATAAATTCGTCCATCAATATAATTAATATACTCGTATAAATCATTTCGATCATTGCATACAACCTTACCCACAAACAAACTAAAGGGAGAGATCAGATTGTCTAAATTACCATCATGGATTCATCAAAGGTTGGGAATGGCATGAGAGTGATGATGTTCCCATGGTTGGCTGTAGGACACATCACGCCATACTTGGAGCTCGCCAAAAAATTATCCGACAGAGGCTTTTCTGTCCTCCTATGTTCCACCCCAATTAACTTTAGTTTCATCAAAAACAAAATCCCCCAGAAATACTCCTCTTCAATCCAGCTAGTGGAACTTCATTTACCTGAATTACCAGAACTCCCTCTTCAATACCACACCACCAATGGCCTCCCACTCCATCTCAACTCCACCCTCCAAAAAGCCCTCACCATGGCCGAGCCCACTTTCTCCGATATCGTGGGAACCATGAAACCAGACTTGCTGATCTATGACATTTTGCAGCTATGGGCAGGAAGAGTAGCCAAATCACACAATGTCCCGGCCGTCCTATTCATGACGTGTGGTGCCGCCATATGTTCCTACATCTTCCATGCATTATGCCGTCCGAACGTGGAGTACCCTTTTCCGGAAATCTCTCTTAGTATCTACGACCAAGAGAGGTTTCAGAAGATGATGGGCCACGAAAGAAGCAGCAATAGTAGTAGAATAATGGACAATAACATGATTTTGTTGAGTACCTCCAAAGAAATAGAGGAGAATAAGTATGTGGATTATGTGAGCGAGTTAGCAGGTTCCAAGGCCTTCACGGTTGGTTCATTAGTTCAGGAGAAACATCAGGATGAAGGGCGTTTTGGACTGTTGATGGAATGGTTAGGAAAGAAAGAGGAGAAATCAACGGTGTTAGTTTCTTTTGGGAGTGAATATTTTCTTTCCGAATATGACATGCATCAAGTGGCTATTGGATTAGAGAAAAGTAAAGTGAACTTTATATGGGTTATTAGGTTTCCTAAAATAGTAAGTGAAACGACATTAGAAGCCCCTAATAATCTTCTTCAAGCAGCATTGCTACATGGATTTCTTGAAAGGGTGGGAGATAGAGGGAGGGTGATAGAAGGATGGGCCCCACAAGTAAGAATTTTATCACACCCTAGCATAGGAGGGTTCGTGAGCCATTGCGGGTGGAACTCTACATTGGAGAGCATTGAATGTGGTGTTCCAATCATAGCCATGCCCATGCACATTGACCAACCTTTAAATGCTAAATTGATTGTGAGTATTTGTGTTGGAATCGAGGTTGAGAGGGATGAATCTGGAAAGTATCATGGTGAAGACCTAGCTCGAGCTTGTGATGAAGTTGTTTTTGGAAAAGCTGCAGAAAAAATTCGGACAAATGTCAAAGTAATGAGTAAAAATGTAAGGGTTAAAAGTTTGAAAGAGATGGATGAGGTTTCTATTCAACTCGCAAAAATTTGATTTTCACATTAAGACATCTCATGTTAGCATATCCATTCCAATAAAATTTGCATGTTTGCTTATTGAGCCATGTAATTGGCTATAAAATCCTTTCATTGTGAATATCAACATCTATAATACGTACATACAATTTATGTTCAATATAGATCCTGTCCAGCTGTTAGGATAGGACCCTCCTGTCAAGCAGGCTAGACATAATATTTTTCAATAATTTATTTGACTAGCTTCTCGCCTTCTCGATTGAATTTAACCTGAAGTTTTGTAGACATAATTCACACTTCATAAAGGACATGCTCACAAAATTTCATCAAAACATTCCACCGGGAACCACCTCAAATGGCGCATCCAAGCCAAGTGTCATGTTTATGATTTTGAATAACGGTTGCGGTCATTGCGGTTGCTGCCAATGCGTCCATTGCGATGCGTCTTGCGGCCACTACGGCATGAAATATTATCAATTTCACACAAGATAGGACGATGGTGTTGTGGTGTTGTTGTGGCCAGTTGCAGCCGAATGCGGTGTGATGCGGCCCTGTTACGGTTCCATTGCGGTTTTGTTGCGGGTTTCGTCTGCCATTCGAAAACACAACGGTATAGTGGCCCGTTGCGGTTGCTATGGCGGTCCACTATTTAATACCTGGTCGTGCCCCACCGGTTGGCATCCCTCTATCTATATATATATTGAAACTAACTTCATTCGTCCCTTAAAAGTTGATCATGTTTGACTTTGTTAGACATGGCATTGTATGGGCTCAAGCAAGCTTCTCAAGCCTCGTATATGACGTCTTGCCTGTCTGACTTTCTAGTCCAGTGAGGATTCACGAAATGAACCACTGACACCACCCTTTTCATAAAACGACATATATCTAACATTCTGCTTGAAATGTTTTGATATAATCCAACTTTCTATGTCGATAATATAATTTTGTTCCTCAAATCAATCTCTATAAAAAATGTTTGACAACCTCATGAAATCCAAGTTTGAAATGAGCATGATGGAAGAAATGAACTTTTTTCTCGGGTTGTAAATTAAACAGTTGTCAAACGGAATTTCCATCAACCAATCTAAATATATTCATATTATCTTGAAAAAGTACGATGCGGGTAACAATACACCGATAAAAACCGCATGTCTCCCTCCTGCAAGCTTGACTCAGATCCCTTCGAGAAACCAATCAATGTCGTTAATTTTTGAGGTATCATGAGATCTTTGATGTACTTATCGTCCAACAATTCAATTATAATGTTTTCAACTTGCTTGTGTGCACGCCTTAGGCTTACCCAAAGGAATCACACTTGTTCAACGTGAAGCACATCTTGAGATACCTGAAAGGCACCCCCAATATTGGCGTTTGGTATCCCAAATATTTTGAATTTGGTTTGGTAGGCTTCTCCGATGCTGATTTTGTAGATTGTAGGATGGATCGTAAAAGCACCTCTGGCGGTGCTCAATTTTTGAGCGAAAACTACTTTGGTGGCCCTCTGAAAAGAAAAAATTGTGCGCCCACTTATATAGTTGAGGTAGAATATGTCGTGCCTGCTAGTTTTTGCTTAGAAGTGCTTTGGACGAGGACCCAAATGCGCGGTTTTGATTTCTTTTTTATCACATTCCCATCTATAGTGACTCAAAAAGCGTTATCACTATCACCTGTAATCCCATTCACGCATAAAAGAGAAGTCGGGAGTATGGTGTAATAATTTTTTGAAAGGAGATATGCCATTTAAATTTGGAGTAGGAAGCCGATTAATGATAAATGTGGCGGTAAACACATCTACCCAAAATTTAGCTAGCATTTTTGCTTCAAAGAGCATAGTGCGAGTTAATTCAAGTAAATGCTTGTGTTTTAGCTCAGCTGCTCCATTTTGTTCAGGAGTATCAGGGCAAGATTTGCGAAATAAAATACTATTTTTAGTATAAATATCACACATTTCATGTTTATCAAATTCACCCCCTCCACCACTTTGAAATTTTTTAATTTTATGGTCATGTAAATTTTCCACCAGTAATTTGAAATGTTGAAAGTGTCTCACCACTTCACTTTTATGACACATAAGATAAAGCCAAGTAAAATGAGACAAGTCATCAATAAATAAAACAAAATATTTAAAGCCACTTGCAGAGAGAACAGGAGACTACCAAACATCAGAATGAATTAAAAATAAAGGAGCAGTAGATTTATGCGACACTTCTTGAAAAAGTAATCGATGTGATTTTTCTAACCGACAAGAAATACCATCATCGGAAAAAATAGAAGTACTATGAATAGTGCCAGACTTTTTTAATTTATTAAAAATACGACTTCCACAATGTCCAAGCGACGATGCCAGACCGGTCCGAGATCTACATGAGAGCTGAGAGCGACTGGTGAAGGATGAGTAAAGGAAATAGAATAAACACCACCATTAGTGGAAGCTTGGAGGAGCACCTTCCCCGAAATTGTGTCCTTAAGACAGATAGAAATTTTTATAAAAATCACAAAACATTTATTATCGACACATAATCGTTGGATAGAGAGAAGATTATATTTAAGATTAGGCACATGATAAGTAGATTTTAAATGGAGAGGTCGAGGCGTAGTAGATAATGCGAATCACCAACAGTCATAACAGGGAGATTAGAGCCATTAGCAATGGTAATTTTTTGTGGTCCAGAATAAATAAATTTATTTTCCAAAATACCTTCATTTGAAGTCATATGAGCAGAAGCACCTGAGTCAGGATACCAAAACAGCTGGAGTGGATTCACTAGTAGAGACAGCCAAGGCAGGAGCCTGAGCTTGAAAAAAATGAGACAGACACGAGATAGCTGAATGACCTGGAGAATAACAGATCTGAAAAACGACAACTGGATGAACTAAACCAAAACTATTCTCAAAAGATAGAGATTCTGCAGAAGCATAGTTAGTACAAAAAGTAGAGAGAACAAAAGTATAAAACAATGACTCAACTGAATTACATAAAACTGTACCAGGTCCCCAATTATTTTGCTGATGAGCTCCCCGGTCGGATGATATGATGGCTGCTGGTGATGTTGCTGGTGATGTTGCTGGCCGTGACCGAAGTAAGCGGGAGGCTAGCCGTACACCTGCTGCTAGGGCTCGTACCTGTTGCGGCCAAGCCCTTTGCCTTGGTTGTCGCGTCGTCCGCCACGACCCCCTCAATTCAGCTGCTGCTGCTGCCCGTAAGAGGAAGATGCCGCCGATCCACCCCCTATCGAAGACGACACAACAAACGCCAGAGTAGTAACTTGAGTTTCCAAAGAATTTTAAACCCTAAGGCCTTGATACCATGTGACAATAATGGAATGACTTACTAAAGTGGTAGCCCTATATGTCATATACGTAGTACTAATATATAATAAAATATGTTCCGATTACAATAGGAAACCTAATAAATATGGAAACCTAATTAATGGTATTAGTTACACTATTATTTTATTCTTCCCAACCAATGCTGGTAGCCTCAAATACCGTGCTTTTTCCATTTTCGGCTCCCACACCCAAATGGAAAAAATGTGTCTCAATAACTTTTAGTGACTCTAATTGTATTCAAAGTTACTAAGATGTAGTGAATATAATGTAATTTTTGAACGCAATTATAGTTAGTTAAAATTACCAATTCACATTTGTGTCCATTTCTTTTAATTAGTAATATTTTAGGATATTTTTCTTTATGTATGTCGTACGCGAGCACTCACACATATAAATTCATTTATTTTTAGTGTTAACATTTTAAATACAACTATTTACTATATAAGAAAGACTACTCCGATATAAAATAGCAAGAATATTCATGATTACATTTTTTATCCTTATTTATTAGACTCACTATTATTGACTTGATTTCAATTAAAAGTGGTAAAACTCTATTGTCACGTTAATTGTTGTTTTAGCCAAATTAAGCTAAACTCAGAATGATGATTGTACGAATCGAGCAATTAAGAATCAACACTATGGAGATTAAGAACAAAGAAAATAATAATGATAATTGAATAATAGTTGAATGAAAGTTGCTGTTTGAATGCAATGAAGTGTGTATCTCCCACTCCTCATATGGCCGAATACCCCCTTCTTATACAGATTACTATTCCTTTTTTATTTTATTCTCTTCTTGATTACATATCCATAATAAGGAAACATGAGCCTTCTTTATTTCTTTCCTTGCTTGATCCCTTTCCATGTAAAGTTGGTCTTTGCTAGGTTGGATTGCTAGAACCTTCCTATCCGCTGCTGGGCTAATCCGGGTAGTTCGAGGGTGCTCCAGCCTATTAAATTAATTATGGGCCTAACAATTGCATCTTTAGACATATTTTGTGAAAATATTTCATTTTCATATAATTAGTGGTCATATTTTCCATTACTTCATTAAAGAGGGTTCTATTTATTCTTTTTTAAAACAGAAATGACCCTAATTAAATAGGAGTAAAAAAGTTTTGAAAAAAGTACTTAATTAATAATCTAGGAAAAATAATCTAGGAGCAACTTAATAAGAACTTTTAAAAGTACATATTATGCACTTCTATCCAAACACTCTAATTAATACTACCTCCGTCCCAGGGAGAAGTTCCCAATTTCCTTTTTTGGCAGTCCCAACAAAAAGTTCCCATTTCCTTAAATGGAAAGTTATCCTACATAAAAACAGTGCCAAACAGTGCAAAACAGTGCCAAACAGTGTCGAAACAGTGCCAAACAGTGTCGAAACAGTGCCAAACAGTAAAATTTACCCCTCAGTAACTTTATTTCCTTAATATGTGTGAAAGTCAACCCGGGAACTTCTCCCTGGGACGGAGGGAGTATCTATTTCATTTTTCCGTTGAAAAAGTAACAGTTTTAAGAAATAGATTTAAACGACCTTAAGAGCCCGTTTGGAGACCTCTTTTTTCGACTTATCAGGCTTATCAGTCAACTTTTTCACCAAACACGTAATTTTTACTTTCGCGTGCTGAATTGTATAATAAGCAGAAAAAGTAAGATTGGAGTTACTTTTCTGGCTGTATTGGCTGAAGTTACTGTAGATGATCATTTTAGCTATTTTTACATGTAATTTTTTCTTTATTATTTTATTAATAAAATATATATTTAAAATATTTTTTTTCTAGATACAACAGAATCAGCCAAAACAGCCACTTCAGCCATAACTTCATAAATTTCAGCAGAAACAGCCAAAACAGCCGATTTTCGTGCTACCAAACGGACTCTAAGTTGTCCGCTCAAATGTATGAATAAGTTGGAAAAATTGATCAATTTATTGTCGAAAATTTTAAAATTTATCAGAGTTTTTTAATCAGTTTGTCAAAGTGCCATCCTTTTCTACCAAATTGGTCATTTGGCCGTAATCTAGAAGACGCAATGAATAAGGTGATGTAGTCTTTCCAAAGGAGTCATTATTCGTTGAACTATACAACAAACCGAAATAGTCAAACACAACATTTTTCCATACCACCTATGTTTAAAAACCCGACCCGGCCGGGTTGACCCGGAACGCGGTGACCCGGACAAAAATCTGGTTCGGTTTCTTCAAAACCCGAAAATGGTCAAAAACCGGAAAAACCCGGCTGACCCGAAAAAATCCGATCCGGACCCGACCCAAGAAACCCGAAAAACCCGGGAAAACCCGGTTTTCGGTCTTTTCCAAAAAAAAGTAATTTCTTTTTTAATTTTAATGCATTTTTTAAACCAATAAAATTGCAATTTCAATTCCCTAAAAAGAAAAACTATGTAATATATTTATATATTTATTTAAGAATGAAAATCATGCCAAATTATAATATAAATGTACAATACAAATAAAAATATATAATGAGAGTGTATATAATTATATGTTTATTATTATTATATAGACGTATAATCGTTGACCGGTTTTCCGGCTTTGACCGGGTTGACCCTCCGGGTCCGGGTTGACCCGTGACCCAGTCACATGACCGGGTCGCTCACCGGTCCGGTTTTTACAACATAGCATACCACCTACTCTCATTATTACCCTTCCATGTGAAATCGACGAAATGACAAAATAGCGGGCTTTTGCCGTTCGCCTTCTCAAAATACGGAAGTGGGATTTTTCTTGGACTGAAATTTATTTAGAGTGATGTTTGTACTAAATTTGCCGGTCTCTAGTAAATATCTAGTATCTATCGAGTATATATTTTGTAACTATGCAAGTCTGGTCTGATTTATTTAAGTCTGGTCTGATCTAATCTTGGATTAAAAATAGTCCAAGTAAAAACATGAGAATATTACCCGAAATAGGACTAAAAAGATTTGCAAATTCCAAAATAGGACTGCCATATTTTTATTTCCAAAATAGGACTAATTACTGCCAAGTTTTGGCAGTACCAGACTTCAAACATGGCAGTATTTTCCAAACTTGACAGTAATTACTCCTATTTTGAGAATAAAAACGTGACAGTCCTATTTTGAAAATTTCAAACTGTTTTAGTCCTATTTCGGGAACTTTCCATAAAAACGTCATGAGATTAGGGAGGGCTCCATAATCCGTTATCTTTTTGTAGGCTTGTTTTCCGAATACGAATTAGGCCGGAGTGTACACTGTTTTTTTTTTTTTTTTAAATTTAGGAAAGCCTTAATGCCTCATTCTAATAAATCTTTTTTATTTATGATTCAATTTTTATAAAAAATATTTATCAAAATTCATAATTTGTTACTCCCTCCGTCCCATTTAAAGGTTCCAATGCGGTTTACAATGTTTGACTGACCATAAAATTTACCGATCCGTGTTATTTATAGGATTTTTTTTAGTAAATAAAATTTACATATTCAGAAACTAAATTAAAAGTTATATAATGCCTGATCAAGAAAAATTAAATTTGATATAAATTGGATATATAAAGTAAAAGATTAAGAAAACTTTACTTTGACCCCAGAATAGTAGTCGGGAACCTTTAAATGAGACGGAGGGAGTATCATTTTTCTTATGACATTGAATATATAACGTTTTGCAAACAAATTAAAGTTTCAATGGTAAAAAGTTTTCAGATCCAATTTTATTTAACATAAATTGAAGTACTACAATTAAAATCTGATTGTTAAAATAAGTTTTTTGGCATGTTTCAATTACTTACAGTCTCTCCGACATTTGGGAGGGATTGTCAAATAATGAACGGAGGGAGTAGACCAAATTAAACGTACAAACCCACACAAAATAATCTTCTCACAAAGCTGTGTATAAAGTGTGTATAATATCTGGTCTTTGTGTATAAGGATGTTTTGACTGAAATTTGCTGGTCTGAAGTGAAGTGGCTCATAGTCTAGTGTGCACAAGAAGCCGTCATATTAGGTAAATGAACAGTCTCACTCAGCAACAACAGTTGAGCTACCCGTGCAGATAATTGCCTTTGAGAATGTCAGGTAAGTATTTTCTCCGTTCTAGTAGGATGGGATTGATCCGCAAAACCCTAATATTATCCATGACATATCGGGTTATGAAAATTTGAATGACCAAACAAGGTTCATTACATTCACTTTTTGTATGTTTTCTTTTGCACTGTAAAATGCACCAAACCCCATATGATATATAAATTCGGCGCATTAACTTCTAGTGATATAAATAATTCGTCAAATCACCTTGTGTTATAATTATTTATGCTCAAAACCCCCTCTAAGAATAAATTTTAAAATTTTGAAATTACTTATTTTAATAATATGGTAGAATACACAAGTAACTTTGTGAACATTTCTAAAGTATACAAAAATATTAATCATTTTTCATTTAATTGGCAATTAGATTTGTTCATAGAGGGAATCTTGCGCATAAATAACTATAATGCACAGGTTTGACACATTTTTAAATCACAAGGGCTAATGCGGTGAATTTATATTTCACAAGGGTGTATGGTGCATTATACCCTAAAAAGAATGACACTCCATTATTTGAGCTAGCTCCGGCCTTAGCACAATTAACAGGGAGGATGTAACTTGAACTTTAATCACAAACTTACATATAACGAATGAGCCCTATGCATTTTAAATCTTAACACTTTAATCATTAAAATCTTAGCACTTTAATCATTAAAATCTTAGGAATAAATACAATTGATCTTATTTATAAACTTTATTTATATTTAGTTCTAGAAGGGCTAGTTGGCGAAGTTTCTTTGACTTGGAAAAAAGCACGTACTCACTCATGGGTGGCCAAATGCTTCGTATATAAATACGTACTCCATCAATCAATATACTCATATACAAGTATAACATATCTACATAGACACATATATATACAGTACCGTCATATATGGATTCATCAAATGTTGGCAATGGAATGAGAGTGTTGATGTTCCCATGGCTGGCTGTGGGACACATCACGCCATATTTGGAGCTCGCCAAGAAATTATCCGACAGAGGCTTTTCTGTCCATCTTTGTTCCACCCCAATTAACCTCAGTTTCTTCACAAACAAGATCCCCCACAAATACTCTTCTTCAGTCCACTTTGTGGAGCTTCACCTGCCAGAATTACCAGACCTCCCTCCTCACTACCACACTACCAATGGCCTCCCGCTCCATCTCAACTCCACCCTCCATAGAGCCCTCAAAATGGCCGAACCCACTTTCTCCGACATCGTGGGAACCATGAAACCACACTTGCTCATCTATGACACTTTGCAGCTATGGGCAGGAGCAGTAGCCAAATCACACAATGTCCCGGCCGCCCTATTCATGACGTCTAGTGCCGCCTCATTTTCCTACACGTTCCACACATTTTCCCGGCCGAACACGAAGTACCCTTTTCCGGAAATCTCTCTAAGCGTTTACGATCAAGGGAGGTTTCTGGAGATGGTTGATCACGGAAGAAGCAGCAGTCGTGGTAGCGAGGAAAAAGACACGATTTTGTTGAGTACCTCCAGAGAAATAGAGGGGAATAAGTATGTGGATCATGTGAGCGAATTAAGAGGTTCCAAGGTCTTCACAATTGGTTCTTTAGTTCAGCAGCATCATCAGGATGAAGGGCGTTTTGGACCGTTGATGGAATGGTTAGGAACGAAAGAGGAGAAATCGACCGTGTTTGTTTCTTTTGGGAGTGAATATTTTCTTTCTGAATACGACTTGCATCAAGTGGCTGTTGGGTTAGAGAAAAGTAAAGTCAACTTTATATGGGTTGTTAGGTTTCCTAAATCAGTAAGTGAGACGCCATTAAAAGCCCCTGATAATCTTTTTCAAGCGGCACTGCCACATGGATTTCTTGAGAGGGTGGGAGATAGAGGGAGGGTGGTGGAAGGATGGGCACCACAGGCAAGAATTTTATCACACCCTAGTATAGGAGGGTTTGTGAGCCATTGCGGATGGAATTCTACTATGGAGAGCATTGACTATGGTGTTCCAATCATAGCCATGCCCATGCACCTTGACCAACCTTTAAATGCTAAATTGATTGTGAGTATTTGTGTAGGAATTGAGGTTGAGAGGGATGAATCTGGAAAGTATCATGGTGAAGACCTAGCTCGAGGTTGTGATGAGATTGTTCTTGGCAAAGCTGCAGAAAAAATTCGGACAAATGTCAAAGTAATGAGTAAAAACGCAAGGGTCAAAAGTTTGAAAGAGATGGATGAGGTTTCTATTCAACTAGCGCAAATTTGCTTTTCACATTAATACACATCATACTATATTATATTAGCATCTCCAATCCAATAAAATTTGCACGTTTTCTTATTGATGTATGCAATTGGCTATAATTCTTTGATTATGAATATGAAACTTCTATCATACGTATTATTTAAGTTCTATATAAAATAAGAGAGAGTAGAGATCATATAGGAACATGATCTAAGTAAAGAAATGAGAATGATTCTGGAGTATTGAATTTAGGTATCGTGCATCATGTAAAACAGAAATGTGCATCTCAAAAATTGGAAAATGTGCATTTCAACTATGAAGTTTTCTATATATATATATATATATATATATATATATATATATATAGGGTGCGGTTCCAGTGAGAACGATGCTTAACGTGAGAACGTGAGAACACTCACAATTAACCCAGCGTGATACACAATTGAGCCCGTCAGGTGCACATTTGGGTTTAGCTCAAAATAAGCCTATATAAATAATGACGGTGGCATTTTAGTAAATACTGTGCCGAACGCGAAAATGTGCATTGGGCGAGCCTCATTGTGCATCACATTTGGGTAAATGTGGTGTTCTCACGTTCTCACGTTAAGGGTTGTTCTCATTTGATCCTAAATCTATATATATATATATATATATATATATATATATATATATATATATATATATATATATATATATATATATATATATATAGAGAGAGAGAGAGAGAGAGAGAGAGAGAGAGAGAGAGTAGGGATCAAATGAGAATAACATCTTATGAGAGAAATAAGAATGCATCTCCACCTTTGATTAAACTTAATTGAACGGAACGGTTGTTTCTTGGGAATTAACCGTCAAATTCGTTGGGATCATTACTTAACTCTATGCCCGCACATCGTTAGTGATTTAGTGGTCACTCTTTCCATAAATTCGTACTATACGTATCTTTTGTAAATCCACTAATTTACATTTGTAATTTCTAATAATTTTTTTTGTACTTCTTTTTCTGGTACGTTTTTTTTTGTTAGTAAATTTGGAAGCTAGTTAACCTCTTGATTACTATTTTTATGCACACCTAAATCAATGCTTTTTAAAAGACTCTTAAATCAATGATTTTATGTTAACTTTGGATGCATAATTTTAATTTAAAAAAAGATTTTCCTTAATTATTATTGAGACATAATTTGTGGACAAAAATTATGATTAAAGGTATTATGAGTATATCTTAATTACTGTATAAAAAATCACATTTTTATGCACAATTCTTTATTTAGGTTATAGATTCAAATGGTTCTTTAAATATACTTGGTGTGCACTTTTGGTTGTATGGATGTGCATTGTTAAATATTTGGTTTGCACTTTTGGTAGTATTGTTGTTATTGATGTTGTTGAAGGTAAGTAAACTAAATCATACAATATACTGTCAATATAAAAAAAATTATAGCATAAAGTGTGCAAAATTCTTGTAAGAATAACAATACACAAGAATGTTGTTTTTCTTATTAAGAAATAATAATAAGTGTGCCAAATTCCGCACATTTGTATATAAGTGCACAATAATGTTACTAAAGGTGCATATTTACTTTTGAGTACGTAATTGCACAATGTGAAACAAAAATGTGCATTGTTATGAATCACAAAGTGCAGCTACATTTTTTAAATAATTTAAATTGTTATACTACTTTGAATTGTGCATTATCTTAAACATAAATATGCAACATCATTAACGCAGAGGTGCATCATTTTAGGTCGTTCTCATGTGCAAAATCATATCCTAAAAGAAAAATGAGAATGAATCTGATTGTTAACAAAAATGCAGCTACATTTTCAAATAAATTAAATTGCTATAAAACTTTAATGTGTGCATTATGTTTATCATAAATGTGCAACATCGTTAATCAAAATGTGCATCATTTTAGGTCATTTTCATTTATCATGTGAGAAACCGTAACTGTTCCATCAAAATCATATCCAGAGAAAAGAAAATGAATCTGAACGTAACAACTATGCATGATTTGTAATATTAATGTGCTTGTCATGAATCACAAAGTGCCGCTACATTTTTAAATTAATTAAATTGTTATACCACTTTAACTTATGCATTATGTTTATCATATATGTGCAACATCATTAACCAGGATGTGCACCGTACGTTTTAGGTCATTCTCATATATCACGTGAGAAATCCCACCAAAACCATCGCCTAACTAATTATAAGTTTATTCGACTTTATAAATGTAGAGTACACTTTTAAGGTTGCACTATAAAGATAATATAAGTGCACTAAAAATTTGGAAAAGAATAAAACAAACTAAATAGAAAATTTTACCATTAATAAAATATGGTGGATAATAATATGAACAAGCATATCTATATTGAAAATGACACGTGGGTAGACTTCTCTAAACTTATGAACTTAAGTTCCATATTGGACTTAATTTAAGTGCTTTCAATTGAAAGCATCTAAACATATAATTGATAGTAACGGCACATTAATTATTCAATGCTAACGTGATAACCTCTACGTTAGTGGTTTGAAGTTGTGCATATTTGCATTTATGCCACCGTTTCACTTAATGATCTAATACTATTGATTTGGGATTTTAAATGATCAAGAATTGTTCTCATTTTTCCCCTAAGAGAGTGTTCTCACATGAACCTTACCCATATATATATATATATATATATATATATATATTGGTTCAGGTGAGAAATGCATCTAATGTGAGAAATGAGAATGAATCTCAGCCATTGGATTTACAAAATTGCACTAAAATTGGCTTTATGTTGCAGTAATATTTAAATTTTGCACATGTTGCACTAAAACTGTTTCATGTTGCACTAATACTTGACGACGTTGCACCGAAATAGCTTCATGTTGCACTAGACACGTGTAATACGGATTTTTCAGAAGTATTTACAGAAATGCCACCGTGCTAGATTGCATATTTCTAGCACTGAAATAAATAATATGCAATCTAGTTTAGATTGCTATGTGCTAGAAAGGAGTTCATAAGTGTGATGCTAGATTTACAGAAATGCCACCATGATGCTAGTTTAGTGTAGCATAGGTGAAAAAGTGAAATCTAGCATCAGTGTGAAACCACCATGATGCCAGTTTAGCATAGAAGTATTTACAGAAATGCCACCATGATGCTAGTTTAGTGTAGCATCATGAAACCATATTTCAGTGCAAGTGCACATAGCATCATGCCAATATGGAACTCAAGTTCATAAGTTTAGAGAAGTCTACCCACGTGCCATTTTCAATATAGATATGCTTGTTCATATTATTATCAACCATATTTTATTAATGCTAACATTTTCTATTTAGTTTTTTTTATTCTTTTCCAATCCACCATATTTTATTAATGCTAAAATTTTCTATTTAGCTTGTTTTATTCTTTTCCAAAATTTTAGTGCACTTATATTATCTTTATAGTGCAACCTTAAAAGTGTACTCTACATTTATAAAGTCGAATAAACTTATAATTAGTTAGGCGATGGTTTTGGTGGGATTTCTCACGTGATATATGAGAATGACCTAAAACGTACGGTGCACATCCTGGTTAATGATGTTGCACATTAATATTACAAATCATGCATAGTTGTTACATCCAGATTCATTTTCTTTCCTCTGGATATGATTTTGATGGGAACAGTTACGGTTTCTCACATGATAAATGAAAATGACCTAAAATGATGCACATTTTGATTAACGATGTTGCACATTTATGATAAACATAATGCACACATTAAAGTTTTATAGCAATTTAATTTATTTGAAAATGTAGCTGCATTTTTGTTAACAATCAGATTCATTCTCATTTTTCTTTTAGGATATGATTTTGCACATGAGAACGACCTAAAATGATGCACCTCTGCGTTAATGGTGTTGCATATTTATGTTTAAGATAATGCACAATTCAAAGTAGTATAACAATTTAAATTATTTAAAAAATGTAGTTGCACTTTGTGATTCATAACAATGCACATTTTTGTTTCACATTGTGCAATTACGTACTCAAAAGTAAATATGCACCTTTAGTAACATTATTGTGCACTTATATACAAATGTGCGGAATTTGGCACACTTATTCTTATTTCTTAATAAGAAAAACAACATTCTTGTGTATTGTTATTCTTACAAGAATTTTGCACACTTTATGCTATAATTTTTTTTATATTGACAGTATATTGTATGATTTAGTTTACTTACCTTCAACAACATCAATAACAACAATACTATCAAAAGTGCAAACCAAATATTTAACAATGCACATCCATACAACCAAAAGTGCACACCAAGTATATTTAAAGAACCATTTGAATCTATAACCTAAATAAAGAATTGTGCATAAAAATGTGATTTTTTATACAGTAATTAAGATATACTCATAATACCTTTAATCATAATTTTTGTCCACAAATTATGTCTCAATAATAATTAAGGAAAATCTTTTTTTAAATTAAAATTATGCATCCAAAGTTAACATAAAAATCATTGATTTAAGAGTCCTTTAAAAAGCATTGATTTAGGTGTGCATAAAAAATAGTAATCAAGAGGTTAACTAGCTTCCAAATTTACTAACAAAAAAAAACGTACCAGAAAAAGAAGTACAAAAAAAATTATTAGAAATTACAAATACAAATTAGTGGATTTACAAAAGATACGTATAGTACGAATTTATGGAAAGAGTGACCACTAAATCACTAACGATGTGCGGGCATAGAGTTAAGTAATGATCCCAACGAATTTGACTGTTAATTCCCAAAAAACAACCGTTCCGTTCAATTAAGTTTAATCAAAGGTGGAGATGCATTCTTATTTCTCTCATAACATGTTATTCTCATTTGATCCCTACTCATATACACACACACAGATATATATATATATATATATATATATATATATATATATATATATATATATATATATATAGGACCATTAAATGCCAAGTTTCGTACTCTTACCTTGCTTTCCTTTAATAATTCAGTCATTTAGATTATTATTTTAAATAAATAATAGGCTAGACTCAAAATAGTCAATTAAATTAGTTG